CAGGAGTACGAAATTCCCGGGAATTCCATGGAATTCCCCACCCTCGGGAACCCAAAATCCCCGGGAATGGCCCCAAATCCCTCGGGAATGGCCCCAAATCCCTCGGGAATGGCCCCAAATCCCCGGGAATGGCCCCAAATCCCCCGGGAATGGCCCCAAATCCCTCGGGAATGGCCCCAAATCCCTCGGGAATGGCCCCAAATCCCTCGGGAATGGCCCCAAATTCCCAGGAATGGCCCCAAATTCCCAGGAATGGCCCCAAATCCCTGGGAATGGCCCCAAATCCCCGGGAATGGCCCCAAATCCTCCAGGAATGGCCCCAAATCCCTGGGAATGGGGTTGGGATCGGCCCCGGGAGCCCCGAGCAATCCCTGGCTCTTGTCCGTGTATCCCAGATGATGGAATTCCCAAAAATCCCTGGGAATTCCCAAAAATCCCTGGGAATTCCCAAAAATCCCGACTTTTTTCCCGGGATTTTTTGTTTTCCCAGTGATCAACAAATACAAACGGAGGCGATTCCAGAAAACCAAAAATCTCCTGACGGGAGAGACGGAGGCGGATCCCGAAATGATCAAGGTGGGAATTCCCGGATTTCCTGGGAATTCTTTGGGAATTCTTCGGGAATTCTTTGGGAATTTTTTGGGAATTTTTTGGGAATTTTTTGGGATTTTTTTTGGGATTTTTTTGGGATTTTTTGGGGATTTTTTTGGGATTTTTTGGGATTTTTTGGGAATTTTTGGGGATTTTTTGGGGATTTTTTGGGGATTTTTTTGGGAATTGTTTTTAATTTTTTTTTAATTTTGGGGGGGATTTTTTTTATTATTATTCTAAGAATTTTTAGGGATTTTGGGGGTTTTTTTTAAAGGAATTTTTGTTAATTTTCAGGGATTTTGGGGGGATTTTTTTGATGATTATTTTGGGATTTTTTTGGTGGAATTTTTTCTAATTTGGGGGGAATTATTTTTAATTTTTTGGGATTTTTTGGTGGAATTTTTTTTTAATTTTTGGTGGAATTTTTTTTTTCTAATTTTGGGGGGGAATTATTTTTAATTTTTGGGGGATTTTTTGGGGGAATTTTTTCTAATTTGGGGGGAATTATTTTTAATTTTCTGGGATTTTTTGGTGGAATTCTTTTTAATTTTGGGGGCAATTATTTTTAATTTTGGGGGGATTTTTTGGTGGAATTATTTTTAATTTTGGGGGATTTTTTGGTGGGAATTTTTTTTAATTTCAGGAGGATTTTTTTGGGTGAATTTTATTCAATTTTGGGTTTTTCCCTTCTCAGAGAGCCGAGGATTTCGGGCCGGTCGAGGTCATTTCCCACTGGCACCCGAACCTGACCATCAACATGGTGGATGACCACACGCCCTGGGTGAGGGGCAGCGTCCCCCCGCCGCTGGACCAGTGTGAGCAGCCAAAAATTCCTGGGAAAACCCAGAATTCCCGGGAAAAACCCAAAATTCCCGGGAAAAAACCCAAAATTCCCATAAAAACCCAAAATTCCCATAAAAACCCAAAATTCCCTGGGAAAACCCAGAATTCCCGGGAAAAATCCCAAAATTCCCATAAAAACCCAAAAATCCCATAGAAACCCAAAAATCCCCGTCCAAAACGGGCGTGGTTTGAGGTTTGGTGCCTCCCAGTCCATCCCAGTCCATCCCAGTTCAATCCCAGTCCATCCCAGTCCATCCCAGTCCATCCCAGTCCATCCCAGTCCATCCCAGTTCATCCCAGTCCATCCCAGTTCAATCCCAGTTCAATCCCAGTCCATCCCAGTCCATCCCAGTTCAATCCCAGTCCATCCCAGTCCATCCCAGTCCATCCCAGTCCCTCCCAGTCCATCCCAGTCCATCCCAGTCCATCCCAGAAAATTAAAAAT